CGCTCGTACTGATCCCCTCCTCTTATTCCGTTTGACAAAATACAAGAACAGGGGACCTTTAGATTTCAAAAGAGTTCCAAAACCCAAACGAGGATCAAGCAGAGAGGGGGGAAAAACAAACGTGACATATAAAGGCGCAAGAAACTGCAACAACCCGAACTACGTGGCATTCAAATAGCTACGACATCATCAACAGGTTTTATCTTCAACGTCAATGAAAATAATAAAAATGCAAGCACGTTTCTTTCATCCAAGCGACGCTAAATTAAAAATTATATAAATTAAAATAAAGATTAATATAGGACAGCATATTTCAAACCTAGGACCCGGAAGTTTAAAAAAAATTCCCAATTCCCCATAAACGGGCGAATCTTGATCCTTTTCTTTACTTCCTCCCAATTTGTCGATATCGTACGAAAACAAAAACGGTAAAAAAATTAGAAACAGATCAACAAGTTTAGATAAGAAAAAAATTCGATATTTTCGAGGGAAAAAAACACGGAAATTAATCTCGAATCCCATCCAACCCTGTCCATATCACGACCCCATCATTGAATCCTATCGCACGAACGGACCGTCATGAACTTTCCATGCAAAGAATAAGTACTGAGCTAAGTGAAACTGAGCTCGTAGACCATCTGTCGGCAGTCTCGGCACTCGCAAAATTCCACGCACAAAAACCTACCCAGCCACTAAAAATAGCAACGAACCCAGACCCCGCATACGTACAACCGCTATGCTGGAAACGGAGAAGCACAAAACGAAAATAATGGGGATGTTGAAAATTACCACGTCGAGTTCAGTTCCGCACAAAACACGGAAATCCGGCCCGAGGTTGTTCTGAATTTAGAACTAGGGCCATTCCCGAGTAGTATGCAAGTTTCCCCGCAAGCAACTTACAAGGCCCGAATGACCGAGAAAAATAAGGCACACGCGAGCGAAGGAGCAGATGGTTCAAGAATGCACGCGTCATGTTTCCTCGGGGATACCACTCAGTGATCCCGCATTCATTGAAATCAATGACACGACAATCCCCGGGCCAAGTAACATTCATTTCCTCAGCTGGTGGGTTCCGTATTCAAAAATCCAGCACCACGTGGCAATTCATTCCGACCCCTGAAAGTTATTCCATTTTCTGCCCTTCAAAGAGTGGATACAGCATTTTTATTTACATCCGAACCAGTATTCAGTTCAAAGAAGTCCCTCGCTAGTCAAAACATACATTCAAATGAATTATACGATACTGTAATAAATCCAGCCTACATATGTGATTGAAGCGATTACACGAAACAAAAACACCGTGATTTTCGGAATTGCGTTGTCTATAGAAAAAAGAAAATGTGCACAGGATTATAACTTGAGACATTTTCGGGAGATTTCCTTCTTCAACTCATTCTAGCAATTGCTGAAAACGCAAGACAATTATTTAACAAAATGGCGGTCACAGGAAAATTGCGACTGCGGAATGCCGTCAAATATGCATGGCAGCTAAAGAATTCAGCCCATCCGTCGTGAAATTCAGTCCAAGTTCCGACCCACATTGAAGCGCGAAAAAAATGGGTCAAAAGTGTATGCCAACTCGTTTTTCAATTTTTTCCCTGCAACAGGCCTTTGCGGCGTCAAGAAGCAGCAACTTCCGGACACAAGCTGAAAGGGAAACAAATGGTCCATCAACCGCAGCCAGGGGAACCTTTCGGCGAAAAATTATGAAGGAAGGCGCCGTCGGGAGAGGAAGGAAGCGGCTCGCACAAGCGGTGCCAAACAAAAGGATATGAGGGAAGTGATGCAAAAACAAAACGAAAAAAAAAAGTTTGTTGCAAGAGTATATGGCAAGACAGACTCATCATAGACCAGACCCACGAGTGACTAAGATCCCAGGGAAACAGCATGTCTTCCGAAACCGCTGAAACGCGATTCCTGCGACACGCATAGAGCGGAACCCCCGCCGAATCTCGCTTCCCGTTTCACTTTTTCCAATCCCCCCTTAGGCTTCCCCCACTCATACAGCCCAGCTCAACTGGATAAACGTAAAATATTGTACCCCCAAGCGGCCAGCCCAAACATGAAAAATAGGAATTTAAATAAACCCAAGCTATTCCGAAAGTATTTCAAATCCACCACAAAATTAAGCAACGCATTGAAACTGCTCGATTTCGACAACCGGATCCCCTGGAAAGTTCATTCTTCCCACCTTGGGTGTGCGACACAATAAATTGCCGCACTATGTCAAGATTATTCACAGCATTTATTTTAATCGGACTTGGATTTCCTAATTTACCAACTATTATTCAAACAATGTCAATTCAGGTAATCTCGAGACGTTATATTAGCTTATGCAGTTTTCCGTGAGATTTTCGACCCCATCCATCACGAAATGAATCGATGCAAAATCGAACACACATTTCACAAAATTTTTAGCAACGCAAATCATTCTACAAGAAACTCCAATTACAAATGACGTAAACGGAAAAGAGGATATAAAAAAGGTGATTTTGACGTAAAATTGTGACAACTTGAACAACATTATTTAGACAGATCAAACCCTAACGCCAGCGTCATTCTCGACACATTTTCGTCGCCCCGTAGCCAACAGGGCATCTGTCTGATAATCCATAACTGGTGGCATGAACACGAGGGAAAAGGACTGAACAAAAATTGTCCCTCCACACATATACTGTACTAGGGTTCGTTCAGAAGTTTTGTCGGATCTCTGTTTCCTTCGTTGAAGTACTCGACGAATGCAATTTTGAAAATATTATTTTCAGTGTTTTAATTCAGAATTTCCTGACCACGACCACAATTTATTCGCACGTCGGTCAAAAATTGAACGAAAACAGAGTCGTAACTTCATTACATCGAAGCAAGGAAAAATATTTACCAGCAACACTCACGTTTCAAAAATATACAAGTGCTACCAAAAAAATAATAAAAAAAATCTACAAAAATCGCATAAAATCTCACGATGATGAAAGTTTCCCTCAAAAATCAAATGGTAAGCAAAAAGTTGTCCAAAGCACGGGCGGTATAGAAAATTTACCAAATGAGCACACGCTTGCTCAAGTCTTGTTTCTCTCACAGGACTTGAATTGAATTTTACTGACAAAACTTTTGAACTCCCTTTTTTGTAAGTACAGAAGCAGCAGCAGCAGAAGCAGTCTAGTATCGCGAAGGGAAAACGCAACACCTGGCCTCGGGTCGTACATGGTTGCTGATCAGCACGCGCGTCTGCGCGGAACTGAACCCCGGGGATCGCATTCGCGAACCAGTCACACACAGCAAAGAAACAAAGAAAAAAAATTATCCCGTGTTTTGCCAAAATGTCCAGAAAGGTGTTTCTTTTAATCTCCAGATAAAATCCGAATATCCCGATAGCTTTTCAGGCAATACAGTAATTCCCAGCTTTTATTTTTCCGCACGAAAAAAAAAAATCATTAGCGCACAAAATGTTTTCGCAACTTCTGACAAATTGTTTGTAACAGTCTTGATGAGATGCATGAAAATGAACTGAACGATTGAGCAAAAATTTTAAACGGACGAGAGAAGGGAAAATACGATTCCTAATACAGGATCACCTACCGAACAGCAATTTGAGGTTCATTTTTCAAACACATAAAGTCGAAATACAAAGTTTCTCGACAAATTCTGAAAAAAAAAAAAAAAATTCACTGTCATCGGGTAGAGCTCGTGTTCACGTTATTTACACGAACTTACAAAAAAACAGACCAGCGATCCATGACACGTTAATTCAGCCGGCAACCTGGTCTTTAGTTCGAACCACATGCAACGACTCCTAAAAACCGAACAGGTGTTGACTCAACAAGATTTCCGAAGCAGGCAATTTTCTCCTATCATTTCCGCAGAACACGGCGCTCATAATTAATCAGTTTGATATGCTTCCACCTAATTAGGGTCCCCAAATACAGAACCACTCATCGATTTGCATTTCTAAGTCGACGTTCACGAGGGATCAAGGGAATAAAAGACACTCGTAAAAATGAAAGTCATTGACCGGATCGCGTTTAATCAATACTAAGCACGAATAACAGGAAATATCAATTGATTTAATCAATAGATTTGCTCCTATATTATTTATGGGACATCGCGCTGATTTGAATTCGAAAGTGTAATTGTGCATTGAGTGCTCAAAAAAGGACACGATTTTGTTCGAGAAGGAAGCCATTGACCCGATTATGCTTCATCAATCGCAAAAAAAAACGACATATAAGAATCAGGAATTTCTTCATAACTACAGAGTCCGGTGTACTGTACGCAACGCTCTCAATATAAGAACGGGGGTCACGCAAATGAAATTTGCTGAACAGCTGACAAATTCTATTTGACTTTTCAATATACTTGGGATTCTTCCGCAGAACACGGCGCTCATAATTAATCAGTTTGATATGCTTCCACCTAATTAGGGTCCCCAAATACAGAACCACTCATCGATTTGCATTTCTAAGTCGACGTTCACGAGGGATCAAGGGAATAAACGACCCTCGTAAAAAATGAAAGTCATTGACCGGATCGCGTTTAATCAATACCTAAGCACGAATAACAGGAAATATCAATTGATTTAATCAATAGATTTGCTCCTATATTATTTATGGGACATCGCGCGGATTTGAATTCGAAAGTGTAATTGTGCATTGAGTGCTCAAAAAAGGACACGATTTTTTTCGAAAAGGAAGCCATTGACCCGATTATGCTTCATCAATCGCAAAAAAAAACGACATATAAGAATCAGGAATTGCAAACGATGTGGGATGAGCCTCAGATCAGCTTAGGAATTATTCCTACACATCTTGGAAAACGCCTCGTGCGTTTCTTCACAGCTCAGAGATTAGGCTTACTTTCGGCCTGTCGATCGCTTCCTTCTCTTAAGGCATTATCGGGCTCAAACACACACTCTCTTGTGCGACAGGAAGAAAGGAGAGAAAAAAAAATAGAAAATTGTGTCGTCTTCTCCCACTTCCTTCCACACGCACAAAACCAGGGCGCTTTCAAGCAAAACCTCCTCCTCCTCCCCTACCAATAGGTGAAGTCGGGCCCACCTGCCTCGTCCTCTCACCTGGTAACATATCAACAATGCAGACTATTCCGGCGCGAGCAGCTGTTTCCGACAAAGGAAACGCGATCAAGAGGCAGGAGCCACGGGGCGAGCGACGCAAGGCACCAGGCTACCCTCGAGCTCATTACATCCCTCATTAAATTAGTCACATCCAGGCAGTAAAATCCGTCTCACTAGTTTCCTTCTTTTGAATGTAGGCACGACGACGATTATTTCGACTCGGCGAGACCGAATGGGTTGAGAAAGTGGGTTATGCCCACTTCTTCGCCCGAAGACGGCAGAACCCCGGATACGGGATGCCTCGCAAAATGACCTTTTTTCTCTCGCAATAGAATCCAGTTGCCTCCGAGTTTTACTCCGGAAACAGTGAATCTCGGTTTGTTTGGATTGTACAGTACTGTAAACTCAATGGGAAGTAATTCTCTTTCGAAAAATTGAAGCTGATCTGGGAAATGTAGCCAGCAGAAACATTCTCCAAGAAATCAAAAAATGTTCCCGTACAAAGCATGGGATCCTTCTCCGGATTTTCCGCTACATTCTCTGCTTTGTTCTTTGTTAAGAATCTCTTGATTTAGTAATTAATGCAATCAAATATAAAGAAAAATTTGTAAATGATCTGGAACGGATTGCTCTCTACGATACATGCATAGCATCACATTAACCCGTTGAGGGATTCGTCGTGAGCCCCGAACCAATTAGCCATCCTATATAACATTACTTGTTTGACAGACTTCTCGGATAATTAAGTTTTCCTTGGAACAAATTCCGTCCATCAATCGGAATACTTCCGTTATGCAACGAGGAGTTGAGGTGTTTAAAAAAATTCCAAGCAAAATCAAAAATAAGTCAGCGAAACATACTGCTTCCACGTTTGGAACTTTTCGGTCCAGCAATCCATTTCGTTATCTAGTTCTTATTCCGAAAGCAAAATCAGCTTGAACTATGACAGATTATGAATTTTCAAAAACAAACGCGCGTTCTGATCATAGGGGAGAATACAGGCCGTATGTATTAATGGCGACAGCGGAATTACGGAATGATCACGCTGTAAATGTGCTATAAAATTGTTCTGTTTTTTCTTTTCTTGGACAGTTTCCAAGAATTGTGCGTTTTTGACAAAATATCTCACCTCCTTGGTCCACGGTCCTTTGACTAGCTCCGGATTCACGACTTTATGCCATCGATGCTGGCACTGCACGTCCGTCTTGCCGCAGCCGACGAGACTCGCCACTACATCCCATCGTTCGCCAAACTTGTCCACCAGCACTTTCAGCTTCTCATCCTAAAAAAAATTGCACGATCAGTAATTCCGTAACAACGAAAAGCAGAAAGTTCGACAGTCGAATTTCCAAACAAAAGCTAGTGTGCCGCTATTGAATCAATTTGTTCAAATCCTCTGGCGCACGTTTGAACATCTGATCAGGGTATACCGTATTCATCGCTCTTACTTATAAAAAAACGTGAAAAGCATACAGTACACGTTATCGTGATTTCAGTTTTTCAGAAGTAAAACCCACGATCAATGAGGGTCTCAATCTGCCATCATAATTTTAATTTCGCGCCTGGATCCCAAAATTATTTATGACTAGGAGGCACACAAATGAAACGCTTATCGAATCAACAATCCAAAAATTATTGGATTGATTTTTAATCAAATATGAATAAATAGAAGACTTTAGAGTACAGTATCTTGAATGTTGAAAGTCCAACAATGAAAGGAAAATATCGTAATCACACGCTTGTAAGTCACAACATGTCAAAAAATGGACTGAATAACTCAGATGATGCCTATATTATCGTAATCCAGGACTTTAAATTCGTCGGTATTGTCGAATCAATCCATCATAATGAGACATTTATCGTTTTTCATATCTCCAACTTCAAACATAAAAATGAGCTTTAAGGTCGTCCTGCTGATTGGATAACTACGGTAGATGAAGGTCCATGACATGGAAACTAGAAGATTGAACGCAACCAATGCGGCTCAAAAATATTAGGAAATTGTAATGCAAGCAAATTTCTCCGTCATTGAAAATACAGCATAAAACTATAAGCCTATGTTCCTTCTTCGAAACTTCGTAGATGCATCATGGCGATGAAAAACCACGGCTTCAAGAGGAATCGTGGGTGTGAAGAAAAAAAACCCTTCGCTAACCCATCACAACAAAAGACCACGAATCCGTGTTAAGGCTGATTCTCCTCGCAAGACACTCAACGAAAACCCGTGACATCCGCAACTCATCAGAAAAGGTTGATGCACCTTCGCCCAGCGCGCAACGTGACGCCCAACGCAAAAGAAGAGAGGCAGGAAGAAAAGAGAGAGAAAAAAGGGGTACAGATCAACAACAGATGCTCCACCAACCCAACCCCACCTCTCTCTCTCT